GATGGGCGCGATGGAGTAAATGGTGATGTACATTATTTTATCAAATATTACTTGTAATAAAGGTTGCGGAGTGTGGGTGACAATGATTGAATGTCAAATGCTTTTGCTCTGATCCAGTGCTGTACTTTGTGTGGTGGTAAAAATATACGTGATTACAAGTGATATAAGGTCCAAACACACGTGCTCAAAGTGTGTTCTGTGCATTCCACACATTCTTTGTGGAAGTCCAAACGAATGGCTACATACATGCAACGCATGCGTAATAACAACCTGGAGATTAGAATTGCAGGCTCCTCTTGTCGCCTGTGATTATCCTTTATACAAATAAAAACATGTCAATATAATATACTTGCCAACTCTTTCTGGGTCAAATTAATTAATGCATGAGATTTTCGTCCTGTTATGACAGGAGTTTCTGAAAACGTCCCAGCTACTTCCACACATTTCCAACAATTTTCCAAAGACTTCCAAACTTTGCCAAAAAATGTGAGAAGTTGTTCTGACAACCTTTGAGAGATTCTGAAGTTATTTCAAGTGTCAAAGGGAAATTGGATCGAATTTTTGTCATATTAATCATGTGTTAAAGAACAATTCATCCGGATTTGTTTGTGAGGTGTGAGAAATTGTCCTTGTTGATGAGTGAAATCAAGGTCTAGAAATAAGTCCCCAGGCATGAAACTCATGCATAATGTGTTAGAGTTGTCAGGCATACTGTAATTATTCTCAAAATAAATCTTAACCATGGGTGTCCTTCTTGTCATCCCCCCTGTTGTAGCTTGTTGTCAGTGTTCTACCCTAGGTTGTAATATAATTAATCCAAGGCTGTGCTCTAAGAAAAATTGTAAGGAGTCCAGTGCTCTGAACCTGTGAAAAACAGGGAGCCAAGCATCAGATTTGAATGGGAAAGCTAAGATTTCCTAGTTGCTCAAGATCAAAAGTAAGGTTTTAGGGGCCACTGACTGGGCGCTGCTAGAGCACCAGTACAGCGGGACCTCGATATAATGAAGGGCCAAGGGGCTGGCAATAATATAACAGGCTATAACGAGGTTTCATTTTATTGAGGTTTTTTCATATATTTATTATTACTGGGTTAACGAAAATATTTTGTTATACCGAGAACTTCGTTATATCGAGGTTCCACTGTATCACTTTAATTTGTTTATTGTCTTGAACACAGGAAAAGATGGCCGTGATGGACGAGATGGCAGTGGAATAAAGGTTGGCTTTTTTAAGCTTCAAACATTGCTTTCTCTTTTTGCTTGAAAAGTTCAGAAATTCAAATCAAATGACCCAGGGAGCTGTATGTTTCCAATAAAATGGTCTCTGTTGTGTGAACGTATCAAATTGCCAAAAAAATAGGTTTTTTTGGACATTTGGGCTTTTTTCTTTCCAGAGAAAGAAGAATAAGATATAAAATTATTTTCAAAAACTTAATAATTTAGTTAAATGTTCTTGTGTAACAACCAACGTTTAGGGTCACTGTAACCAGATAGTTTGCAAAAAATTAAACATGACTAAAAAGATAATACAAATTATGGACTTATGATAAAATGGAATACAAGTCTAAAATAGTGAGCCAACTTTTTAAAGTTGGATCACTGTGTGTTGGACAAATTGCTACATAACACTATTTGATTTGCTTTTTTTCCTCACTGATTCAGTTGTAAAACTTGCTGTTGGCACAATTATTAAAGAGGAAAAGCACCTGCTCATGTTTTTAAAAACGGAACACATAAATTTGAATAAATTTTATTGCGTACACTGTACCTCAGTTAATTATTTTATTATAATAAAATGTAACTTCACACTTTCATTTTTTACGAAATGATACCTATCTTGTTGACAGTTAATGGTGGCAATATGCTGGCTCCTAATGTGGGAAGTTATGGGGGGTTCAAAGGCGATTGGGTTAAGATTTATGTAGTGTATCCTTCCTTTGATACCTTGTTCTATGGTGATACCTCTAGTGTTAATGCAATGACTAAGCAGCTGTACATGTGTATATAGATAAACTCAGACCAAATGTTAAATTTAAATGGTTGGCCTGAAGCTGTTTTGATTACTTTAATTTAACAAAAAAAGTGAAAAAAGGTGCACTATGTGTTGATTCTTGATTTTTTTGTTATAATGATAAGTAAATAAACTCATTTTAGTGGTAGTACTTGTATGTCCATGAAGCTAATATAAATAAATAAAATTAGTAGTTATTTTTTCAGTGATAGTTTTTGCAGTTTTGGTTTCACTTTTATTTGTAAATATCTATGTTAGGGAGAAAAAGGAGAAACAGGGATGCCAGGAAAAGATGGAAATGCTGGCGTCAAGGTATTATTGACATGTACTGCTTTTTAAATAGTGGTTATGAGTTTCTGGATGCATATACTTCCATAAAACGTCATTGAATATAAATTTAAGTTGAATGATGCAAAATCATCCAAATCATAACCAGACCAATTAACTTTATTTTGATCTCCACCACACTAAAGACAAGCAAACTGGCTATTCTCTTAGCATTTGTATTAAAAATAATAATGATGATAATGATGATGATAATAATAATAATATTAAAATAATATTAATATTCAAAGAGGGAGCTCAACTTCCCATGGCAGTTTTAAGTGGGTCCTTCATTAAAGTCACAAAAGTAATTAATTTATAAAAAGTAAAAACTTGCTCAAAAATGAAAAAAAGAGTTAAGATCATAAAATTCGCAGTAAAAAGTACGACTTTTTCCTAGAGTAAGAAGTTCCCATAACATTGTTCCTTATTTTAACTTTAAGGTTGCTGAGGACAGTTTCTCTAGAAATGGTTTTTTGCATTTACTATGCATGAATGTTAACTTTTAATCATGGGGAAACGTGCAGCCAATTAGCTTTTAAAGAAAAAAGTGCTAGGAGAAGTTGAGAAGAATGCTTAGAAGTTTCTACTTCTACTTCAATACTCTTAAACGTTTTTACATCTAAGAGATTAATAATGCAGGGGAAAAAAAAAGAAAAAGAAACCAGTAGAAATAAGATAAAAGATTAATTTAAACAACGTTACGTAGATGATTACAAAAGTTTGGGTAACTTTCTGCTCTTATTATCAAAGAGATAAGATTCCATTCCCTTATAGTTGTCAGTTTTGTCCGGAGAAATTTATTCTGTTTTTGTCAATTTTGATTTGTTGACTTGCAAAGGCAACGTAAACAAACGACAATAGTTTTACCTTAAAATCTTAAAATCATTAAAATTTGACGACATTTAGCAGAAATCCTCTTCACGTCCTACGACTTAGTCAGTGAAAGCCTCAAATAAACATCAAACAAAGGAATTTTGTGAAAGCTATTTTGAATTCTTAAAAATTTCAAAAACTGTTTGTTGCAATTTGGTTAAGGTGCTTTAAAATGTGGGGGTTTCAAAATATAACCTGTGCGCAAATTCATAAGGAAATCAAACAGCTAAATTTTGAGTAAACCAAACAAATTCAAAATTTTAGGCTTCTTTTTAACTCAATGAATGTCATATCTTACCCACCCTAATAAACGGTAATGATCATAACGACCTATCAAAACCGTCTTTAGTAACCTTAAAATCTGCGGGCTTGGCCTTGAAATTAGTTTATTCCGGCCTGTTTCCTGCTGTATTTTTAAATTAATTTCATCTGATCATTAGTTTCACATTTTTTTTCGTACTTTTCATCATCTTTAATTCTTATCTGTTATCTTCATCATTATCATTGTCACTATTTTGTTACAGTTTAATAGCTTTATTTACTTATTATTATTATCATTAAAAAAAAAATTATTATTATCATTATCATTATCATTATTATTATTAATATTATTATAATTATTATTATTATTTTTCAATGCTTCAACACTTTATTACAACTCTTTTTACAAAACAAAACATAGAATAAATAAATAAAAAAAATTACACTACTTTACACAAAAGAGCCATGGTGATTATATAATTAAAACTTATAGTAAGCACAGGAGAGGTTTCCATAGAGAGTGAAACTTGTTAATTAGCCCTTTGGATTGGAATATACATTTATGTACAATTAGCTTGCCTTTAACAAAATCAAAAAAACAGGTCGATGTTAGGGGTCTTTCGAATCTCTGAGCAAAAATGTGTCTCCTTCCCAGTAAAATAAAATAACTGAAAATTAGAGTTCTTTTGTCTTCTGGATTGTAACTATAAAGTATGCTTAATTCATCTACAAGGTAACAGTCTCCGCTTTGATGATTCCACCAGGAGATTATTTTTGCCCAGAAACTGTTAATTTCGGTACAATTGACTAGCATATGGGGAAGTGTTTCTGAAGAGTTACAATGAACGCAAAGCGGGGAGTTTGAAATCTTCATCTTATATAATTTGCTTCCATACGGTAAAATATTGTGGATTATTTTGTACTGGAACATTCATAATTTAGTATCCTTGGTTAAGCGAAATGGCAAAGTGTAAATTGCTTTAAGCTTGTTAGAATCAAGACCTAGTCTGCATAGCCTAGAACTAGCCAAAGGTTCCTGGAATTTCCTTTCTATTAACCGTTTGCGAATACTTTTGCAGCTGTTTTTAGCAGTTCGTTTCAACTTCTGCTCACTGAAATTAGAGTCCAGCCTGAGAGCTGCACGTTTCCATTTGTCTGGAATGGCCGTAATAAGACCGTAGAAATTAGTAAAAGGCGGCCTAAGGCCGGTTTTCCTGCAGAAGTCTTCATAACTTAGAAGTTTACTATAGTCGACTCCCGGTAACTCGAACCCTCTATAACTCGCACCTCTCGCTAACTCGAAGCAATTTTAAATTCACTTCAGATCATTTTCTATAAAATTTTACCCTCGATAACTCGAACTCCCGATAACTCGAACTTTTTTCTATTTCCCTTGAAGGTTCGAATTATCGGGAGTCGACTGTATTTTCATTCAATAAGTCACAGATTCTTTCTATACCTACAGCGTGCCAGTCTTTCCAGTATATAGACTTGCCCGCTATGGTTATATTTCTATTATTCCACAGAATTATATTTCCCGGATTGGCTCGGTCATCATCTCGCTCTCGCGCACCTTGAGCATCAGCCCAAGATTAAAGAACGTCTATATAGAAGGCTGGCACGGAGTTAAGACTTAAAAGATTAATATCATAGTTGCAATAAAAAAGAAAGGGTCCACCAACTCTTCCTAGATAAAATTATGGAATTGTCATCTACTGATTACTTACTCCTTCCTGCATCCTTCGGACCCAAGCACATTGCAAAGATTTGGAAAAAGTTTCATACTCCGGCAAATCAAGTCCGCCTTGATCTTTTGAACCTATAAGGGTGTCGCTCTTAATTTTTGGCTTCTTTCCTCTCCAGACAAAATTAACAATCAGTCTATTCACCTTATCTATAACATGAGCGAGTGTGCAAATGCAGGCATTCGAGAAAAGCAGTTTTGACAACCCCAGTGTTTTAACTATTGTTATTCTGCCATATACCGAAAGGTCGTGTTGTGACCAAACATTAAAAAGTGTTTTAAGTTTGTTTATTTTAGGGGTGAAGTTTTCCCACTCGCAAAGTTTATAATTGTATGAAAAAGATGTCCCTAGAGCACAGATAGGTGTTTCCGGCCACTTAATTCCAAAGGGAGTATCCTTCCTGGCTGCATTTATCCCGAGCCATAATGTTTCTGTTTTTGCAGTGTTTAGTTTGAGCCCACTACAATCACCGTAAATGTCTAACAAATCCAGAAGTTTCCCAAGCGAGAGTTCATCCTTACAAAACCTGGTGGTATCATCGGCGTATTGGGATAATTTAATTTCTCTATTGCCGACTAGAATTCCTTTTTGTTTCTTTACAAGATCGTATACAGGCGGAAAGTGTTCCTACAGCTAATACAAACAGTAATCCCGACAAAGGACAGCCTTGTCTGACGCCACGTTCTAATTTAAGCCAACTGGACGTATATCCATAATTAATTGTGCAGCTTGAAATGTTCGAGTAAAGAATTCTCACCAATTCTTAAAATCATTGCCAAATTGAAAGACATCTAAAGCCTTACAGAGAAACGCCCACTCTAAGCTATCAAAAGCTTTTTCGAAGTCTGTAAAAAGGGCGATGCCTTCTTGACTTTGCTCTGCTGTGAAATGTATAATATCCGATATCATGCGGATATTTTCTCCGATAAACTTTCCTTCAATATAACCAGTTTGTACGTCACTTATGATTGATGGGAGTACTTTTCTAAGTCTCAAGGCGAGAGCTTTGGTGGCGATCTTGTAGTCTACATTCAAGAGTGAGACGGGTCGCCAGTTCTTGAGCAACAATAAATTCTTATCCTTTTTCAGAATAAGTCTAATAATACCTTGTCTTTGTGAGATCGATAACTCTCCTTTTACAAAGCCATAGTTAAAACTGTTGATCATTGTACTACTCAAATGGTCCCAGAAAAAGTTGTAAAATTCAGCTGTTAGACTGTCTGTCCCGGGAGATTTGTTTTTCTGAAAGCCTTTCAGCGCATATCTGCACTCGCTGTCCGTTAGTAGTCCTTCACATCTTTCTTTTTGTTCATTATCGAGTGTCTTTATCATTTCATTTTGAAAAAACTTATTAAATCTAGAATCATCAACTTGTGGATTCTAAGAGGAGTATAGATTTTGGTAATAGCTTTTTTGTTCTTGTAATACTTCTTCAGGATCCGATATTGAACTTCCGTTGTCTCTTGTCAAGCTGGTAATACATTTATTCTCGTAATTCCTTTTTTCAAGATTAAAAAAGTATTTGGAGCTTCGTTCTCCAAATGCGTGCCATCTTGCCTTGGAGCGAATGCATGCGCCTCGGGATCGATCAAAGGAGATTTTTTCGAGTTTCGATTTAACGGTCATATGCTCATTGATGTGCTCAGGTGTTGATTGACTGTCCACCAAATTTTGCAGTCTTTCAGCTTCTTTAGTGAGGAATTTTTCTTGCTCTCTGCCTTTTTTTGCTTTTGTCTTAGTGAAGGTGATTGTAAAAGACCTTATTACGGTGGCCCAAAAGGCTCAAACACAAATCAATTTCCCAAAACACAAATCAGTTTCCCAAAACACAAATCAATTTCCCAAAACACAAATCAATTTCCCGAAACACAAATCAATTTCACGAATCACTTATCAGTTTCCGAGCCAAAAGACTGGGCACTACCTTAATATGAACGAGATAGCCTGGAAAGCAGAGTGAGAACTCGGGCCCAGGGTCTTTCGTATCCAATATGGCGACTATCTGAAAGGGCTGTATTTTCATTGTGTTAACCAGGTGTTAACGAGAAAAATGTTCTGCCAAAGCTGTGGCCAACAAGTTTTAAATGAATATTTGTACTGCTTTCAGTGTGGAACCAAGCTAGACACTGCTATACCTTCTGTTAGGCTATTATTATCAGCTGAAAACGTGACCGAGAAAGAAGCAATAGAGGCTTACTTTTATAGTGGGTTCAGTNAATAGAGGCTTACTTTTATAGTGGGTTCAGTTACAGGGTTATTCTACTCTTCCTTGACAAGTACCATGACATGCCAATGTCTATGTCAACATTGAAAAGAAGGTTATGTGAATACAACCTTAAAAGGAATAAAGTGGATATAAATTTGCCTGCCGTTGAGAAATTAATCCGAGACGAGATGGATGGCCCAGGAGGCATTTGTGGTTACAGAGCAGTTTGGCATATGCTTCGTATAAAGTATGGGCTGTTTGTCCCTAGGCAAGAGGTAGAATCCCTGATCAGAACGATAGACCCAGCTGGAGTGGAAGAGAGGAAGCGCCACAGGCTAAAAAGAAGGAAGTATGAGTCTCCTGGACTAAAATTATTGTTGGCACGTTGATGGTTATGATAAACTGAAACCTTTCGGATTTCCCATCCATGGGGCTATTGATGGCTATAGTCGCATGGTAATGTGGCTTAAGGTAGATAGAACCAATAATGATCCAGAAATAACTGCAAAGTTTTTTTCAGATTGCGTTGTGGAGGTCGGTGGATGTCCTTCATTACTCCGAACAGACTGCGGAACAGAGAATGTAGTAATTGCAGGTACACAGTGTTTTTTAAGAGCTGACTGTGATGATCAGTTAGCTGGTGAAAAATCACACCGTTATGGTCCTTCTACTGTCAGCAAAACCTTTGAAACTATGATCGTAGTAATCTGATGAAGAAAAAAGATAAAATGTTATTCTGTTGGACGGTTTACCCAGTTCAGCTATATATTCTTGTAAGCTGAATGCTTGGTCGGATTCTCTAAGTTTATTTACTTCTATCCCGTCTGGGTACAGCAATTTGTAGGCCAAAGGAGAGCTATGAGTAATTTCATTAGCATTATGCTTCGAGTGCTTTGCTACCGCTAACTTTAATAGCTCCTCCCCATCCGCTGTTCTACCAATTCTTACAGGAAGAGATTTGCCTCGTTGGGGCTTGAGCATATTTTCCTCTTCAATATATCGCATGATGCCAATGTTGACGGTTACAGGTGGGTCTTCTTTCTCAAACATCCTTTTAGTCTTCTTGCTCTTTTTTTTGAAGTGCGACTTTCTCTCTTCTTTTTTATTGTTCATAAAGGTGTCCAAAGTAGGTACAGGCTTAGAAGAAATTAAGGTTAAATCAGATGTGGCAATTCCAGATGTAGCACACTCAGCTCTCCCTTTCCTACTGCTGGTCGAATCGGACGTGGAAGAATGAGTTTCAGTGTTATTGGACGTAGAGTTTCCACACTTTACGCAAAATTTAAAAGTATTCTCCACAACACTGCCGCAATGACCGCATGTAGTCGCCATATTGGACGCGAAAGACCCTGGACCCGAGTTCGTCACTCTTCTTTCCAGGCCATCTCGTTCATAATAATGTAGTACCCAGTCTTTTGAAATTGATTTGTGTTTTGGGAAATTGATTTGTGTTTCGGGAAATTGATTTGTGTTTTGGAAAACATATTTGTGTTTTGGGAAATTAATTTGTGTTTTGGAAAACATATTTGTGTTTTGGGAAATTAATTTGTGTTTTGGGAAACTGACTTGTGTTTTTAGAAATTGATTTGTGTTTTGGGAAATTGATTTGTGTTTGAGCCTTTTGGGCCACCGTACTTTTGTCTTTAAGATCTTTGTATTTGTCAATAAGCTGTGGAATTTTTTTCTGCCATAGCGGCTGTATAATCACTATCTTCTAAGAGAGAGGAATTAAATTTCCAAAAGCCTGGTCCTCTTGGTTGTCGCGCTTTTTTCTCAATTTCCATGCACACTGACGAATGGTCACAGTGTGGAGCAAAATTAATTTCGCATTTAGGCGCGAGAGATTGTTGTAGAAGTTGCTTTGATGTTAACCAGTAATCTAATCTGCATTTAATTTTTTTATCTGATGTTCGCCAGGTAAATTGCTTCTTATTTGGGTGCAATTTCCTCCACACGTCTTCCAGATCTAAACTACACATTACAGATTTCATCTCCTCAGCTACATGATATTTATGGGAGAAGTCACGGCCTCCTTCCTTATCTTCTTTAGATAAAATAGAAACTTTTGGAGAATATTATTTAGATGTAAATAGAATCGGTGCTGAGCGCCGGAATCGTTTGGCGCATAAATATTAGCACAAAGAAGCTTCGTATCATCAATTACCACCTGCAAAATAAGGATTCGACCATCTTCGCTTTGCCTTTGGTTTTCTATCGTTACCAGAATTTTTGGGTTAAATAAAATGGCAGCACCTTTGCTGTGCTTGCTACCGTGGCTGAAATGAATTTTACTACCCCATTCACTGCTCCATAACTTTTCTTGATTGTTGGAGCTGTACGTCTCTTGTAGAAAAATTACTTAAGCATTCTTATTATGAAATTGTCTGAAAATAGCTCGTCTTTTTCGCGAACTATTTATGCCCCTAACATTGAGCGTAATAAAACTTAATCTGTGCATAGCTAATCATAATTGTTTATGGAAACGACCAGCTTGTGATTAGCGGTTCCCATTGCGCATAAGTCACAGAAGGATAACAATAACAATACAAAACAACACATAGAAACAGTTTACCTCCTCAAAGGAGTTCACGAGTTTGGTCGTGCGGGGTTCCAAAAACCTCAAACTAGCAACAGACGGCGATTAACGTTCTCCTGCTAATAGCATTTTTATTTTTCCATTTCACTTTCCATTTTCTTCAGCTCTTCGTTTCTTACAGTTATAACTTTGCCTGAGTCCGAATACTTTAGCGTGGCCGGGTAGGCTTTGAAAACCCTGCATTCTTGCTCTTCTAGCTTCTTTTGAAGATGTTTCTTTAAAGGAATAAGCGCTTTTCGGCTTTCTTGGGTGTCTTTTGCGAAGTCAGCTCCAATTCCCGTTAGATTTCCATGAAACGGAATATCTTTAAGTCTAACCGCAGCATTGGCTAGAATCTTCGTCTTATCCGTGTATTTTAGAAAAGCTACGTGGATCGGTCTTGGACTCTTTCTGTTTTTGTTTAATTGCGTCGGAGTACGATGAGCACGCTCAATTTCGACGTATCCACACAATGTTTCCAAGCCCATGTGACAGCCACACAATTATCGCCTTCTGACGTTTCCGGAATGTTATAAAACACCAAGTTATTTCTTCGGGACCTGTTGCGAAGATCTTCTACTTCTCTTTCTAAGTCTTCTAGCTGCTTTAAATCTGCCTTCCGCTTCATACTTTCTTTCATTTCAGCAACGTCGTCTTTGACTGCGTTTAAGCCTTTTTCAAGTTCAGTTACATTGCTTTATTGGTAATATCGTGCTTAATTGTGGATATTTGATTGTTGATTTTGTCCAGCATATCCATCATTTCTAGCTTCTTTCTGTATATCTTTCAAAATGGCGTCGTCAACGAGCACGTGGGCTGAGATTTCTTTCTCGGAACTTGACACACGCGTTCGTTTTTCGCTCGGTTTTCGTGGCATTGCTCTTTAAAAAAGATACGTGTTTAGACGAAAGACTTTCTACTCATTTGTTTGGGCGAAACCTATCGTTAAGAAGGCTTGTTCAAGAGAACTCAGAAAAGCGTCTACTCCATAGGGTCGTCCTCGTCCCAAAAAAGAAAAAAGAAAGAAAAAAAATTAGTATTATTATTGTCATCATCTTTTGTGGTTATTATTATTTCTGTTGTAGGGGGAGAAAGGAGAACCAGGAATGGATAAAAACAGTAATAGTGGTGTTAAAGTAAGCGTAACTTTATACTTCTTGTTGAAGACATAAATGACTAATTTTCAGAGTCCAAAACAAAAAGGAAGGCACATATTTTATCCTTACAGCAACAAACGACTCATTCAATTTTCTTTAGTGGTCCTGTTTCTGCGCCGTTGTAAATGTTGCTCGGTTTAGGTCAAATTTGATTTCTCCAAACCTGCGGATTCCTTTCTGGTTAAAAACAAGTATCGCATGTACCTAAAAAATCTTTATTTGTTTTTCTGTTTGTATCGCTACAATTAAGGACAAAGTTGTGATCAGTTCATATAATTACAGAGATCTCAAGCTAGCTTCTAAAATATTAATATATGTTGATCGTTAATAATTACTTTTGATTTCTCCACAAAGGGTGAGAAAGGATCACGTGGTGATAAAGGATCACAAGGAGAGAAGGGATCACAAGGACAAAAAGGGATGCAGGGAACGTGTGATACAAAGGTTATTGTCAAAAAACATTTTTTTTGCAGATTTTCACACTCTATAACCTTTATGCATTAATAATCCTTTTACGAAAGCCATATTAATTCAATTACCATAGACTTCATACACGTGTTGCATGCACGATCTCTTCTTTTTCCTGTTATTTTTAAAGGGAGAAGCGTGCTTGAGTGAGCGGCAAGGCCATGACAAGTGACAATCGAGTTTTTTTACTGGTACAATTCAAGTCAACTCGCATGTCCCACAAGTTTAAGGAAGAAGAACAAAATAATGCTCGCCGTCTATGTTCACTAACACCAGACATGACGTTATCATTAGATTAGCACAATGTCATTCTGACAGCGGAAGCCTTTTTTTTTATCTCTTGATGTCTGATCAAGGGAGAAGTTGACTGTACGGGTGTTAAACCCTATATTTTGCATAAATAACTACACTAGGAGATTGTTAGCTTTGTTATTAAATTGTTCTTTGTTGTTTTTATTTTGCCTTTTAGAGCAAATTGAAGTGCCGTGTAGCCGGTAGGAGCAATATTTATTACTGCTGTCTACGATGTACATGTACATTGATTCGTTGGAAAGAAGAGTTCAGCCGAATTTTAATTTCATGAATACGTGACTCCTTCACAGTAAAATTGCAAAAACACAACACATGAGTTACATGTACCTTTCTACCTTATTTGTCGATATGTTCTAGTTGTTTTTTAGTATAATTGCTTGATAACAAAGATTTTCATTTTTTTTTTGTTGTGGAAGATTACTCTATTGGATTCCACTTTCTTGAGAAAGTTCAAGAACTTCCAACCCGAGGAGCAGTAGATGTGGAACATTTCACCATTGATGAAAGTTTGTTTCTTGCTTTTGCGAACTATCATGGGGACATTAAAAAACACAAGACAAGTTCCATGATCTACAAGATGGACAACTCAACTGGAAGATTGTCTTTGTACCAGACCCTACAGACAAGAGGAGCTTTTGACCTGGAGTACTTTTCTATCGCAAACAAACATTTTCTTGCTGTCGCTAATCATCAAGATGGGACTTTCCGGCTGGATTCTACAGTCTATCAATGGAATGGAAAGCTGTTTGTCGACTTTCAGAAATTGTCAACAAACGGAGCAAATCACTTGACGTACTTCAAGATATACGGGGAGAAGTACCTCGCAGTAGCCAACTACCATGACGGAAGTACCTACTCTACAAAGTCAGTTATCTACAAATGGAGCAGCGGCAAGTTTAACAGATTTCAAGACATATCAACTGAAGGTGCCTACGGATGTACAGCGTTTGTGATAAACGATGACACATTCATCGCTTTTGCAAACTATTACAACTCCCAACACAAGTATTCTGTTCAGTCCACTGTGTTCAAGTGGTCAGCAGGTCACTTTGTTAAACTGCAGTCTCTTCAGACTTACGGAGCGCAGGATGTGAAGCCTTTCAACATCAACGGTCACACGTTCCTCGCTTTTGCCAACTACTACCCTGGAAGTAAGTACAACACCGATTCTTTCATTTACAAGTGGAATGGTAACAAGTTTGTCCTGTTCCAGTCCATTCCTACCCGAGGAGCCATGGCATGGTGTCCATTTGTGATCAGCGGTCAAACTTACCTTGGTGTAGCTAATCACCACGGTGATAGTCTGAAGTACCAAACTCCGTCAGTTGTGTACCAGGCCTCCGGGGCAAAGTTCATCAAGTACCAAGAGATTCCAACCCACGGGGATTATGGTATGACTTTATTCGAGTACAAAGGTCATACTTACCTTGCAGTGGCAAACTACTACAATGGCAAAAAGCACAACATAAACAGCGCCCTGTACAAGTGGGTATAGAGCTTAAGGTCACAATCCAAGCATGTTAGAGAATTTGCGGTGCCGAAAACTGCTAAATTGTTAAATTAAACCTGCTGCTCTGTTGCTAACCCAAGAAATAAAGGTGGTACTGTCAATCCGTTAAGAAGGGATCCTTATGTAAAGGGTATGATTAAATAACGACATCTTTGTAGTTGATTTAGTGAAAACTTTGCGTTATTACCGCAGTAATTAGTTGCAATAAAGATCTGCTTGGAACACTAAGAGGTTGTGTACTTTTATGTTCATAGCTTCTCTAGCCCCTGATGAAGGTCAGTTTTGCCTAACCGAAATATCGGGCAAACAGATTACCCACCCATAGCGCTGACCGATCAGCCTTGAATTTATTTTATAATCTTGTTTTATGTTCCTGATTCTGATTTACACCATGGGGTAATGACGACGTGCTTCAACCCTATTCAAACCGATTTTTTTGCTTCCAGCGACAGGTTGGTTCGGGGGGCTTGGGAAGGGGGGGAGGCTTCCGAGGCACCCCCTCTTTAACTTGAAAACCACTCATGATATGATACGGCCACCAAAATTGCACAGAATAAAGAATTCACAAATTTCACCATCTAGGTATAATTTGATTGACAAAGTGACGTAATTTGACGTCATTACAGCACCATATTGTTGAAATTATTGGCAAAATCCAAATTCTCTTTAAAGTTGCCTTAAAGCGGAGTGACCGTGGCGGGAAAATCTCCGAGAAGCTAAGGAGCTTATGAGGAATAGAGATTTCTCCCCACCCGCAATTTAAATACTTGGCGGCATTTAAAAATAAAGTTTATTTTAAGTATATAAGTGTGTTTAGAGAAAAATATAGATATGAAGTGTTAAGGTATTTACGTTGCATCCTGTCTGACCCTTAAAAATGGTTTGATCACACGCTTGAATATATTAAAAGTCGGGGCGCTTTTTATGTTGTTCGATAATGAATTCCATATTCTAGGACTTTGAAACAGGATCGAAAACTTTTAATATTTGTTCTACAGGTAGGAGGTCAGTAAAAATCAGAGTATCTGGTTGAATATTGATGAATCTGATTTCCAGTTTGAAAGATTTGATTAAAATAAATAGGTAAAGCATCATTATGATATAGGTACATGAAAGAACTTACTTGGACAGAGTAGATACTAAAAACATCAAGAATTTTCAAATTTGCAGATTTGTTAGGCGTCCAAGGCATAATAAATTGGGGCAGAATGAGTGGACATCATTAATTATTCATGACCACCGGAGCGGCAAATTCGAATGCACGAGCGCCTTGAATAAGCTCCGAATAAGAGAAGAAGGGCCATTTTTGGTCCACCAGCGTTGATAAAACCCCTTGTCGCGACTTCGTTTGTTCCAAAATCACAGAACCACGGACGGAATATTAAAAATGAATGATGTATCTACGGTTTAAGCACAAAATATATAAATTTTACGTAGCGGAAGGACTATCCCTCTGAACCTGAAAATTGCTAAAAAGAGGCCATTTTTTGTATGGAAGCTGACTTTGGGCGCGACTTTCTGGAGACCAGTAACAAAATCCTCAAAACCACGGACAGAATATGTTAGATTGCTCTTTCCTCAAACATAATACGTTTTAACTTTCAAAATTTATGGACAAGAACCACTATCCCTGTGAGTTTGGAAAAGTCTGGTAGAAACGCAGCGTACTTGAGGCCAGCGAGCTATTGTTTTAAGCACAGGTATGAATAACAATGGCTGTCAAATATAACAATACGCCATTGAAAACCGCTCACTTGTGAAGTATGTCATTAGCTGGGGCGAACTTTGAAAAATATTAAAGAATCACTAGACTTTATTAACACAATCTGCTACGCGTATACGCTTGATCAGTACAATGAATAGAACTAGTAAAAGTGGATGTGATCGGGAGCTAAGAAAGTGATCTGAAAATGTGTTGACTCAGTTGTATTGCAATAAACCTATGGATGCGTGATTGCCGTTTTTAGTTTTAACCGCTTTGCTGATTTTGTGATTTTTGCAAGATTGAAGGAATTTTCACATGAGCTAAGATGTCCTTGAGAGATTTTTCCTTCTTGCATTAGACAATCCTTAGTTCCTAAGACGTAATGCTTCTCCTTTTATAAAACCCCCTTTTTGCAGTTTGAAGGGTGGCAAGATGAGAAGTGTGGATATTGAAAAGTTTTCGGTAGGCTTGAAATGTGTTTGCAATTCATGAATTTTATGAGTTGAAAGGCGAGGTCCTTTGAAAACCTCATAAAAATCAGTCCCAATTTATTGTGCCTTGGCCGCCTAACAAATTAACACATTTGTGTCTTGTGCGTTTCATCTAGGGAAAAATGGCTTAGTCAAAAATAAAATTACCTCTAGACTGCTTTGGGCTTAAAGCGTAATAGTGACGACACAAGCGCGCTCTAACAGTTCGCGGGAGATTATTTTTTTCGACAATGCTCAATTGCAACCAGTTTTCAAAGGATTGTAACTTTATTCGACCTCAGTTGTAAAAGCATCATAAAACTGATTCATTTTAAGCGTATCGAAATATTAACTGCCCCTTAAAGACTTCTGTATTTCTGTTGTCACGCTTGTAAGCACGCGTTGCATAAGCGATTTAAAGTGAGATATTAAGAAACAAAAGGATAAATAATAGCTCGAATGGTCTTTGTTGTTTTACTCCTCCCTGACAAGCTGATGAACAAGGCGGTAATCGCTACAAAGGAAAGACCACACGAGAGTGATTCAATTCACGCTTCACCTGTAATATTACAGACCTATGCTTCTAGCTCGACTGTAAGTAAATGTCCCGAGAACAATAGCCATTCTGCGCGATGGCGGCCAAGGCATGGTTAGAAAGATTTCTTGCTTCTACAAATGTTAGATGACAAAGTTGTCTTTGTTTTCTAAAATTGATGACGTCGCATGCAAACGGTACAAGGGCGTGGATCCGTGCGTCGTCACCACACAGTACGACATCGAGATTACTGATCCTTGCAGTATGCAGGACGCGTGTCAAATATGAACCTAGTATATGGCCTCGCTCTCAATGAGTTCTCCGTAGCTCTAGTGGATAGAGGGCCCGCCCAGTGTTTGGGAGGTCACAGGTTCGAATCCTGTCGGGGACTCAGATATTTTCTTTGTCCCACGCTCATAACATGCTGATTAATTCATTTTCACATTTGTTTCACCGAGCTTAAAATTTACCATCTTCCATTCTTTCAATGTTGGGAGTTGTTGGCGAACAATGTTGCGTCCGTTTGCGCGGGGCTTAAGTGAGAACTAGTCTTTGACTACTTTTACCTACCAAGTGAGTGCACTATAATGTAATATTCTCACTTTTTTTTTTGTTTTTTGCCTGCGCGGTATGCTGGTATCCTCTTAGCATCCCAGGGTGTTACAGACAATCGGCTGGAAGTCTCGGGGGAATCCTTTTGCCTATGTTAGCCAGTTATCCCATGTTTTCCTTTTCTTTTGCCAAGTAAAGCCCCATGCAAGCGGACGCAACTCTCTTGGCCAACAATTCCCAACACATTCTCGTCCCCAGAGCCACTCGGCTTAATTTGTAACCAATCAGTGGCTGAGCCCCTCGTTTCCCTACCACGTGACCAAGAAAAGACGGGCTCTGGGGACGAGAATGCTCCCAACATTGTTAGATGATACATGTTGCGTCCCTTTGTCCACCTTGCTGCATGTTGTTGCGTCTGCGCAAAGTTTGAAACCGGTCAAACTTTTGAGCCTACAACTCCCAACATTTCTTTTGTTTCGTGATCGTCGAAGCGTAGCGCAACAATTTTGGATCCGTTTGCGCAGCTCTCCCAACATTGTTGAAGCCACGCACTCGCATTACACATTGTCTCCAAAGTCTTATGGGTTGTACCCTTCCCACGATGCACTGCAGGTTCCAACATTGCTGGGAGTTGTTGCATCTGTTTGCACACCACTGCCAACACGGACGCAGCAACTCCCAACATACCCTCCTATCTCCCGTTCGGCGTCGCGTATCCCCCTGTCCATTCTCTGTCTTACGACCTTCTGCCTTTGCAAAATCTCGTTTCCCATAACTTTTTTTCGTAATGGCAGTAAGTGGTTGTTCTGACAGTGGAAATGGTGTACGATAATGATCCAGCATGCTTCAAAATTATTGTACCGAAATATCAGCTTGTTCCTCTGTTAACGGCATGCAGTGTAGACGACATAACAAGAAACAATGAGAAACTGAATATAAAGTAAGGAGGACGTTCACATGGCACCGAGCGAATTTACTTCCGGTCAAAAAATTCGTGAGTTTCTTTACCCCCGCACTTCTCATTTCAGCTTAGTCGTGTACTAAATCAAATTCCGAGTATTATTCATTCAAGTCCAAAGAACATATTATCGACTTTCTACCAAGTTTCTGAAAGCAGATCGAGGTGAACAAAGCATCAGTTCAAATTTGAATAGAATTTCATAGATTACAGTTCATTTGTTTAGGAGCTCCAAATTGCCGACAACTAGACTGAAATATTCATAGAGGCACTTTAGTTTCTTTAGTTTGCCATTTATTTTTTTATTTTCAAGTCAGTCCGAGTTCGACACAGACTCTGCGACTGAGTTCGAGACGTTCGCTTGTTTGTTCATAAATGCAAAATGCTTTCAATAGTATATATAAACTTCCTGCATGAGTGCCTTTTAAAAATATGATTGAAAAATGGTAAATGCGAGGCCAACCATTTGCTCAAGGATAATATTTGATAAATAATAAGACAACATTTAAAGGGGATTGAGGACAGAGATTTTAACCCATAACATATATACCGATCCAGGTTTTTGAGGTTGTTCACAGTAAAGTTTTAATTTTGAACCCTGGAGTGAATGGAAGATCTGTTTAACAATGAATTTAGTTCGTCCGACAAACAGAATGAACAAAGGATGGTATCGCGTTTATTCATGTCCTAATTATGCTAACATTGTTTCAAAAATCTTGTCCCTTTGTACATATGACACTTTCTTCAGTTTACGTCTGAGCCGCTGAACCACTGAAAAGTAGTAGAAAATGTTTCGATTGATCTTCGTGCTGGCTTTGACCATTTTCTTGGTCGGTTCGTTCGGAACGTCGGAAAGGAAATCTTCTAAAAATGTAAGCCGAGGGTACTTTATTTTCGAAAACCTGGCCGGTACTCTTGTCGCCGTATATTCCCTTCACCGTATTATCTGTAGTCTGGAACTGAAAGTTGTCTAATTTTTAGCAACGTTGCCTTAAATCTTCTTTCTTTTATTCAATGATTATAATCAAACAGGCGAACGAATCTGCCGGAAGCCAAAACAACTGTAAAACTGTTCCACTGCTTGGATGCGGAAGAGATGGTAAGTTCTCCAGTGTTATGAATCGTTACTAACTCAAATGTAACGTTTAGTAGCCACTTCGTAGTCTTCTTAGAGCCAGAAAAGATTGAAAAAATGGAATGAATGGTGATCTAGTTTGAGGTGGAAATTGTATTTACATTTATCGACGTGCCAATTCCTTCAGGCCGAACATTAATCCGCGACTTAAATGCAAAGTAAAAACTGCAAAAGAGAAGTTACAATCAAAGACATCGCACTATTGTTTGGGTTCAGATATCTAAAAGTTGCCCTTAGATTCGTGTTTATGATAACACTGAAGGAAAAAAGATACTGCATTGTTCAATTTTCGTGGAGTGCAAAACTGACTTGGGAAGAAATAAAACTACTATTGAACAGCGAGTTACAAATTCCTGCACAATAGTAATAAAAATATGAAAATTTGTTTTTTGCAGAAGTACATACAATTATGTGGTTTCTTGTAGTGTCATAACTGAAACCTCTAAAGAATATTCTGAAGTTTTTGTTGAATGATCTGCCCATAAAAGCTTCATTTTATACGCGGGATAGCTTAAGTGCTAAATAAAAGCAGTGATGTAAATAAATATAAACATCAAAACCAAGTGATACCAAACGACCCAAATTGTCATGTGTGGATTAATGCCTTTCCTCCGTTTAAATGCATTCTTCAGGAAGAGATGGCCGTGACGGACGTGATGGAACTGTGGGAGCAAAGGCGAGTTAATGTTCTCTGTACTGAATTATACACACCTAGATCATATTATCACTGTGTTATGGCAAGATTTTTTGTCAATCTAACTTTTAAATCTTAGGAAGAGATCCTATAGTGTACTAGCAATTCAAATCTCTGATGATTCCTCTTTCATTTGGCAATTGCAAACGTTTTATAAAATAGTATTTATCTCTTAAGATTTCGCAAAGATACATTTGTATTTTTTTGTCGTTTTCCCTTGGCCACTATTAGGCTACCATTAGGAGTGGAATTTTTAAGGTCTGTTAAGCAAAACACGGCCGAGACAGCCAGCATATAAAAAAACGTCTGTGTAAATGTGCGCTTTCGTACTTGTAGCTTGTTTCAACTCGCGTAATCATTAAAACGTGGGAATCTAAGAAAAGAGACATCAAGACTGATAAGATTCTTCATAATGTATTTTTCCCTAAATAAAACGTTGCATTGGATAATTTCACGTTGAGTTGTGTTCGACGAAAAATTAATTGTGATTCACGTGTTCAAGATATATAGTCGACTCCCGCTAACTCGAACCTTCAAGGGATTTCGAAAAAAGTTCGAGTTAACGGGAGTTCGAGTTATCGGGAGCTCGAAGAAAATAGCCGAGAGTAAGGTAAAAAACAGTTTTTACTGCACAGTGAACATTTTAATCACATTTAATTGTAGAAATGTCAAGTGAAAATTAAAAGATACTTCTTGGTTATAAATCAGAACGTAACGTAGCAAAACATAGCCTAAATAGAGCATGCGTTTTACTGTTTTGAGAAGTAAAGCTGCTTCAGTTTAGCCTGTGACAATCAACATCAGCCTCAGTTAGTAAACTACACTCCTACAACACGTTAAAAGGAAATCCAAAATTCAATATTTCGGACGCCAGTACACGGCTTATTTCCCGACTTTTTAAGGGCTCAAAACATGGTTCGAGTTATTGAGGGTAAAATTATATAGAAAATGACCTGAGGGAAAACGAAAATTGGTTCGACTTAGCGGGAGTTCGAGTTATCGAGGGTTCGATTTACCGAGGGTAAAATTACAGTAAATGTATGACGGAAATCCAGGGGAAATCGATTTTGGTTCGAGTCAGCGAGAGGTTCGAGTTAGTGAGGGTTCGAGTTATCGGGAGTAGACTGTACATCCATTCCGGTCGATCCATTCCATTAGTAGAGCATTTGCGCGGAAAAGGAGAAAAAGAATTCTTAATCGCCTGTTTACGTCATCGATTTAACACAACGTTACGTGTCTCATCATCATATGACACTGAATGGTTTGACTATAATGAAGTTGTATGTTCAACAGAATTGATAGAATGGGATCGCACATATTCAACACCACCGCCTCATTGGAAATAAAAAGGATTAAAAAGGAGAACTGAACATAAACACACTACTCAGTTAACTTTGTAGCGATGGGGAATATAAAGCAAAAAATAGTAATTTTAAAAAAAAAATTTCAGAGACATGTCAGTCTGCTATAACATAAGTGACATGCAAAAACGTAGTAACTTTGAAGCACTTTCTAAAATGACAAGAAAAAATCAAGGAGTCGTTCTTGCACTGAGCTCCTCAATTGACCAAAGAAATAACCTAGAAATATTAGGTTAGAGCTCTCGGAAGCTAGCGGCACAAGCCAAACAATTTTACTCCATTGCACCCCCCATCCTTCCCGCCTTTAACTTGTGTAAAAAGAATCATATCTAATCTATGTCACTTAACTGATCAGTTTGGCACCAAACCTCTCAGAAAAAAGTCGGAAATCCCTGCCGCTTGGTTATTTTGGTCGGATCTCTGGGAAATAATGGCAGTTCAACATTTCCCTCAAGAAACTTGACCAAACAGAATCAAACACGTTGTTTGCTGATCCGATCCCTGGTTGTTTTGTTATTCTTATCGAATTTTAATTTAGAGCTTAACCAAGAATGTCTTGAGTCTCATGTGAAGCAGTAATTAGCGAAATATCGTGATTTTTTACGTCTTTTATATCAGTTACTTACGTCTATCTACAGCTAATTCGACAATTAATTCAGCACTTTTTATCAGCCTTACAAATCGTTTTATTTCAGTTGCTCAACCTCCAAAGCTATTTTTTGGCCCTAATGACTGTTTCCCTTGTCTCGATTCGCATTCCTCTGCCAGCAGCTTCTGCCCGTTATTTGCGCTGTGTGTTTTTCGAACGCACCCTCAATACTTGTAGCTAGAATCCTAAGTGATTTTCCTAAGCCACAATATTTATTTTGCCGTTTTATCTTGAGATTTGGGACTGATGTTTTCTTTTCCAGGGAGAAAAAGGAGAGGCAGGGATACCGGGACAAAATGGAAAGGCTGGTGATAACGTATTAGTTTAAAAATGTACCGCTTTTTAAAAACCTTTAAATTTCTTCTGGAAAGTCAATAAGCTAAGTAAAATTTTGCTTTGTTATCGAAAACCTAACTGACTGTGCAACTAAATGCATGATTACAAACTAAGTCTGCAATACGTCATCCAAACAAGCAAAGCACCGGTTTGACATTAATTATTGAGCAGTCTATTATCGTGGGAAATCCAACAAAAAGAAGCATTGCGCGTATGAACGAAGGATAACGAAGTGATGTTTTCACATTAGCAAACAATTCAAAGATATTTTTTGCTTAAGGCTGCTGATCTTTACTCCCAAAGTGTATCTCCATATTTTTAAATTTACGATAGCAACATAACGTTTGACTTATTTATTGAACGCCAAGTGGATTTGAAGAGTTGTTATTTTCAAGTTGTGACTAGTGTGACGGAGCCTAAAGATGTATAAGATGTAGCTTTGACCAGTGTATCTGTATCAAGTCAGGATTGACTGGGATATTGTTTTCCATTCACGGAAATTCAATATAACAATTTTAAATATGAAGTTATTCGAACTTTTTTACAACCCAGCTTACCATTGCATCAATTAAAAAAAATTGCTATAATTTCAGATCATGTTCAATGGCTTGGACTGGAATCATTTTATCCTGTAAAGAAATCCAAACTGTAGGATAATTTTTGATTTGTACTAATGCGGATGCCCCATGTTGGGGTTTTCCATGTCCCAAATTATATCTTTTAAAAAAAAGGGTGAGAAAGGATCGCATGGTGATAAAGGATCCCAAGGAAAGGATGGACCACAAGGACAAAAGGGCAAACAGGGACCAAGGGGAATGCCGGGAACATGTGATACTAAGGTATTCGCCTCAAGATATTTGGGCTTTTTTTGACAGGGGGTGAAAAAGGATCTCGTGGTGTCAATGGAATTACTGCGTTAAAAGATTACAAGATTTACACTCTTTATTATCCTTTGTAATAGTAAACCTTCTTACAATAAGCCAAATTGATTTAATTACCATTCCTTTAGGCAATAGTAGAATTTGAATTTTAAAATATGATAAAATGAAGCATGCCAGATCATCATTACTGTCATTTTCAACGGCTGTATTCCTGCCCTTAACTCCTTTTCCATGGAAAAACGCGTTTTGGAAATATTCGGTGTTTATTAAATGTACTTTAGAAAATGACTGAACTATGTCAGGTACCGACACTTGCATTGGTAACACTTGGGGTCTGATTTTGGGAGATGCTATTTAAAAAAAACAATGACTGTATAGAGAGTGTTTCATAAATAACTACATCAGCAGATTGTTAGTTTTGTAATTAAATTGTATTTTGTTGTCATTATTTTGTGTTTTAGAGCCTATCTTCTAGCAAATCAAAGTGCTGTTTAACCGGTAAGAACATTTTATCATTTATACCGTCGTCTATGATATACATTGATTCATTGGAATTCGAAAAGTTTCCGAATTTTAACTTTATAAAAACGTGACTTCTCTACAGTGAAATTCAAGAGTAGAGCACATATTAACTAACCTTCCTTTGTTGTTTTTTTTTTCTGTCGTGAGGTATTTTGACTTATCCTTAAAGTTGCATTTTTGTTTCATTGTGTGGGTCAGGGTTAGTCAGGATTATGTTCACTTGGTGTTTTCCTGTTTTAATCTTATGTTTTTACTCGTACTTGAAATTATGCTTGGTCTTCAAATTCACTTAATTCCATTTCTGAAATATTTTTGACTTGGCTTTGTCAGAAGCGAGTTTTATACTGAAAGTCGTGTTTGTGAGTTCAGAGCTGACTTAGGGTATTAATTCTTGTTGAATTAGTTCCTGTTTGGGTTCGTTAACCAAGGTTGTTAGTTTTTCATTGGGTCGCAGCTTCTTGCCAATCGCTGCCGTTTAGGCCCAGAGATAGCAAACATTACCCACACTGAGTTTGCCAGCCTTCTTTTATTCTCACGGTCAGCAAACCCAAACATCACCAGGTCCAGCTCCACTATTTGGATTGTTAGTAGTAGGAGTGGCAGTAGGAGTAGGAGTTATAAGTCAGATTAGTAGGAACCAGCTGTTAGCTGTAGAAGCTAAAGAAGAATAAACAAGTGAGAAGAGGTATAAGGAGATTTCGTGTCCCTTCTCGCTTATTTTAGCTGTTTTGTTCTCGCCATTTCTTAATAACAAAGATTTTAACATTTTTTTTCTTGTGGAAGATTGCTCTATTGGATTCCACGTCTTTGAGAAAGTTCAAGATCTACCAACCCGAGGAGCAGTAGATGTGGAACATTTCACCATTGATGGAAGCTTGTTTCTTGCTTTTGCCAACCATCGTGGGGACATTAAAAAATACAAGACAAGTTCCATGATCTACAAGATGGACAACTCTACTGGAAGATTGTCTTTGTACCAGACCCTGCAGACAAGAGGAGCTATTGACCTGGAGTACTTTTCCATCGCAAACAAACATTTTCTTGCTGTCGCTAATCGTTACGATGGAACGCACCGGCTGGATTCTACAGTCTATCAATGGAATGGAAAGCTGTTTGTCGACTTTCAGAAATTGTCAACAAAAGGAGCAAGTCACTTCACCTATTTCAAGATACTTGGGGAAAGGTATCTCGCAGTAGCCAACCACTATGACGGAAGTAACCACTCTACAAAATCAGTTATCTACAAATGGAGCAGCGGCAAGTTTAACAGATTTCAAGACATATCAACTGACGGTGCGTCCGGATGCACAGCGTTTGTGATAAACGGTGACACATTCATCGCTTTTGCAAATCATTACAACTCCCAATACAAGTATTCTGTTCAGTCCACTGTGTTCAAGTGGTCAGGAGATCACTTTGTTAAACTGCAGTCTCTTCAGACTTATGGAACATTTCATGTCATGTCTTTTAACATTAACACTCACACATTCCTTGTCTTTGCCAACCGCTACTCTGGAAGTAAACACAACATCGACTCCTTCGTTTACAAGTGGAATGGCAACAAGTTCGTCTTGTTCCAGTCCTTACCTACTCATGGGGCTGTCGCTTGGCACCCATTTGTGATCAGCGGTCAAACGTACCTAGGTGTGTCTAATTACTATGATGACAGTAAGAAACACAACACTCAGTCAGTTTTGTACCAGGCTTCTGGAGCGCGGTTCATCAAGTACCAAGAGATTTCAACAGATGGAGGGCATGGTATGACGTCATTTGAGCACAAAGGTCATACTTACCTTGCAGTGGTAAACCATTACAACAAGAAATTTAACCTGAACAGCGCCCTGTACAAGTGGGTGTAGAGCTAACGTCACGTTCCAAGCATAAGCTGGGTGTTATGCTTAACAAAGAACTAGCAAATTTGTGAATCGCAAACCCTAGAAATAAGATTGACTTTAAGCGTAATATTGTATTTTTGTATTGAGAAGGGATCTTTAGGCAAAGGGAATAATAAAATAATGATATGATTGTAGTTGATTTGGTGAAAACTTAGGAAAAAAATGTAGTTGCTTTACCATCGCGGTGAATAATAGTTGCAATAAAGATGTGCTTGGAAGACTTTTGTTGTGGACTTTAACTTTCAACCTCGGAGCCAGGTATAACTTAAAAAAAAAAACGAAACTGGTGCCTAGTTTGCAATGGTCCCGATGAAAATCGGGCCATTAAAGAAAGTCGTTTCAAGTTTGCAATATTTATCAGGAGCACCCCACGACGATTTCCTCCTAAATTCATTGAAAACACTTTTTTAAAGCTATCCAGAGTACTTTTAGATATCTAGAAATGCATTCTAAGCGGCAAAATTTGTATCTGTTTTGTCAACCTAGAGGAAATTGAGTCTTTTCGCAATTTCGACGGATTCTGTATTATTTTCCCGAAAATGTCTTATGCAATTTAATGTATTAAGAAAGTGATTCCTCTTTCCACTACATTTTTGTGTCCAATAAAGTTTAGGTTTTCTTTTTTTCTAAGAAAACTAGCGTAAACTGGGGAGTGAAATGTGTGAAAATTAAACTTCAGAAAATGGTAGGGAATTTATTAAATATTAGTTTCGTAAATTGTACATGAATGAAACGATCATGTAGAAATATTTAGCCGTCCTCAAGTAATAGAAAGGTCAAGACAATATTTGCTTCTCCGAACATACATTTTACAGGAAACAGTCGTTGGGTGCCTTTGATTTATATTCAACCACAAGGTTTAAACAGTTTTCTGAAAGTAAAAAAGCAAAACTACCATTTCACAAAACAAAAAGGACATGCTAGTTTTGGAACTAGGATGCGCCCTGCCACAGGTTAGGTTTCGATTTAAACATATGGCTTCGAGCGTTTGGCCTATACCGAAGGCTTGTTAAGCTTATTATGAATGGTTCAGTCTAATATGTTACCATCTCCCTTGGTAACTTTCGGAAAAAGTCCAGCCCTTTGGGCCCAGGAGTGGGGAATTGCTTCAAGCGATTTTGTCAGTCCTTGCGACAAGGAATGGTGCAAATTAAAAATAACTTCTCGTTTTTTAAGTACTTCGCTTCCCGTTGTTGTCAAGTTTTCATGGATTTCAAGCTCCTGTGCAGTGCGAAATTTGACAAGTTCTTCTCCGTCAAGGTAGAAAAAAAAACTTGCTAAGTTTACCAACTGACAGTACCAAGGAAAATTTTGCTAAATGAAAACTTTCTCGAGTAAATGGACCTTTATTCATGTCTTCACCCTGACATGTTCCCGTAAAAAAAAAAAGCTTTACGTTTGGAAAGTGTAAATGAAAAAAGTTAGAACGGCGAAATCAATTCTATTCATTTTGATTAAACGCGAGTCATTAAAACATTAGCTTGTATGAATTTTACAACGGTTAACAGCCATTTTTCTTCATCATCTCAGTTAGCGGCATAACATGCAGTCTCCTCTGATCAACCACTCCGGCACCGCTTCATCACCACAGTTAACAGGGAAGTTAACTCCTCTTTTTTCAGTAGCACTCATTTATTGAGGTTTTTTGGATGTGCAT